ATTCCTGCTCTTTCAAAATTCAGAAATTAAGCTATATTTTTTTTTTGTAACATGCTATTTCTGTTAGTATTAAAAAACTAAATTAAATGCTTTGTGAATCTGGATTTATTTTCTTTGACAGCGTATCAGGTATTTTATTTCTTTGGCATGCAACTGAATTTATTGTTGGTATAATGCCAATTACACTAATGCCCAGGATGAGATTAAATATGTTCAAGTCTTTTTGATTTAATGTTATAAAAATATTGCTGCAAAACTGAAATAAGGTGTTAGACTTAAGCTATGGACAGGTGTTACATTTCTAGCACTAAATATGCCTTGGTAGCACTACAAAAAGCAAGCAAACAGCCACTTAGCTATTTGTAGTACTACAAATATGGCAAAAGCACTACAAAACGTTACGTCTTTCAAAAAGGAGCTTCTTGATGGGTCCACATTTTATAGTACTATATATGTAGCACTACGCATAGCATTTACAGGGGTTTGTAGGACCCCCCAGCATCCCACAGTTCTGTTTGCCTTTTCCCCCACTCAAAGCGGGGTAGAAAAAATGTGTGTGGCTGGTTCCCTAGTAGCCTGCCTAGCAGCAAGCTTGTAAAGGAGCCCTACTTGGGATCCTGCTACCACCACTTCTTCAAACGTCAGTGCCTGCTGCTGTCACAGCCATCAGAATGTCAGCTCTTGGCCACAGAGACTACACAACTGTCTGGGTGACAAAGCCCAGGCAGCTTGTGTGGATGAATGGCAGAAACCAGAGGCAGCCCCAGCCTTCGAAGCTCCACCAGCCAGCTGAACTCCAGATGTATGGGCCATGTAGGCTGTATAGCTGATCACCGAGAGCTTGCCCAGTTTAGGAGAGGGCATGCTGCCAGTGATCAGGTTCCACTGGGAGTCGGGGACACTCAAGGAGCAGCACCTTATCATCCCCCTGGCTAAAGAACTCACCTTTGAGGTGACATTGTAGCTCACCAGCCAGGGATTTTGAACACTTGTACACTCCCATAGCTCCACCTTTTTGAAGTGCTACAAAGTGCAAAGACACTTTATAGTAGTACTAATGATCACCTGTCTATCCTTATTCATGGTTTTTAAACTTCTTTTGATGTAAAATTGTTTCTGCTTCAATCAGATAGATTTAAGACTTACCATCATTTTGGCCAGTTTTCAGTTACAGTTTCAAATTTCACAATTTTCTATTTTCATGCAGTGAAAAAACAATATTTTATGGCCAAAAAAATTCCCTATATTTAAAGTGTATATAGAAAGGAATAAGGCAAGCCAGTATATGCCCACTTTGGTGCAAAAGTTTTTTACAGCACCTTTTATGAGTCAATGTACTGTGAAATAATTAATTAAAATTCAAAAGCATTCTCAAGTTATTTGGTAGCTTATTTTACAAACCACCACTTTCATTCTTGGGGTCTCCCCCTCCCCACTGGACCTTGCTCTCTCTACCAGTCTTCATGATAGTCATCATCAAAGATACGGATTTTCCATTCACTTCAGAAAAACACGGGTTTTCTCCTTTGACAGAGAAAAATATGGATTTTCTCTTTTCAAGGAGAAAATAATGGATTTTCCCCTTTAAAGAAGAAAAATGCAGGAAATCACAGGTTTCCCCTTGCAGGCTGGCAGAGCTCCAGCCTGCAAGGGGCTGTTTGGGACTGCGGGGAGCAATCAGACAGGGGGTGCCACACACGTGTATACATACATGCACGTGGCAGCCAGGCAGTGGTGGAGAAGAGCTCCCCCAGCTCTCTGCAGGTAAGTCTGGTGAGGGGGGAAGGAGCACAGGCCATGCAGTGGGGAGGGGCACAGACCATGTGCTGGTGGGGGCATGGACTGGGGGTGGGGGAGTCCTGTGCCTCCCTAGATTTCTGCACCCACAGCAGGGCATGGGGCTGCAACCAGGCTGGACCAGCTCTGACAGAACTGCCTCCACGGTCCAGCACGTGGGACCCAGTGCAGGAGGGAGTACCACACTACCATGGCCGCCAAGCTGAGGCACCTCCTGCCCTCCCAGCAGCCGCAGGGGGCACAACTCCCTGCAGCTGCTATTCTAGCTGCTGCTATTGTAGCTGCCGCTGTTGCGCCTTGCCATGGCAGTGCAGCATTCCCTCCAGCACTGGTTCCCACCCACTATGAGCACAGAGGCAGCTCCTGTGGAACTGGTCCAGCCTACCTGCAGCCCCGTGCCCCACTGTAATTGCAGAAATCTTGGGGGACATGTATCCCCACTGCTGCATCACCTGTGCCTCCTCCGCCTTCCCCATATATCCACTCCCTTCCTCACACACTGAGAAACTGGGGAGGAGGGACTGTGAGTTGGGAGTGAGGGGCACCAGCAGGGTCGTGAGGCTGTGTGTCAGGAGTGAGGGAGAATAGCATGGGCAGGGGCAGGGCACTAGCATATCTGGGCTGCTCGGCACCACAAAGCAGCAGGATGGGCAATTGCAGCTGGACCTGCATCCTGGGAAGCAAGGGAAGCTCTGATTTTTCCATGATAAAAAACCCAAAATCAAACACCAAAATTTATAGGTATTTAGAATTTATTTTATTATAATGATTGAGGCACTGGTAGGCTTCCAAATTGCTTTAAAATTGTAAATATATCAATGAAACATTGTGTTCAATTGATACCTACATATATAGTGGCATTTCATTTTAATTGCAGAAGAATGCAATTTGGGGGGGGGTTTTATCAGAGAATTTCTGATTTTTAAACAAAAAACCAGGATCCCTGGAACTCATCATACAACCTATTGTACCATTGAATATAGAAAGTGTGCCTGCTTTGCAGTTAGTTTATTTAATAATAAGTTTTTTTCTAATTAAGGAGCCTCAGGTCTTTCAGATAAACATGATCGTACCAGTGGATATACCCAGCATTAAGGGTGGTGGTATCTTAATTTGAAAATGCTTTAAAAGGCTTTCTTAAAGTATATGTTTATTACCTAATATTTAATGTTGTGTGGGTTTTGCTTTTAGGTAAATCTCACAAACCATTGTGGTTTTATGGGAGGACTGCAAAAAAACAAAAGTACTGGGTTGACCACTCCATATTTTGCTACCTCTACAGTGGAAGTGATGTTCCATGTGTCAACAAGAATGCCTTCTGATTCCGATGACTCTCTAACTAAAAAGGTAAGTGTTCTTGAGTAGCTCCTTTTCATTTAGGTAAAAAAACAAACTCAGAATATTTCAGAAATTAATTCCTAAACAAACAAATAAACAAAAACTGTTACCTTTTTGTAAAGCATAAAATGCTCATTCTTCCCAACAGATGACATCTTGTTGAAGACGACTAGTGTGAGCAAATTGCCTTATTAACAAATTATTTTTTACCAACCAGTTATTTTGGCACAGAAAATATACATCATATTTGTATATTTAATTGTTGCTCCTGTCCCAGGAATGGTGATACAAAAGAATTAAAATAAAAGGCAAGAACAGATATATATCTTTTATTTCCACACAGAATGAGTAATGTGTTCTGATACTTTGAGACTTCTAGACATGAGCTATTAACTTCTCAGAGTAGTTTGTGAATGACCTGAGGAAAAATGTCTTACATTTGAAACCTTGTCTAACTTTATCCCAACTACATAGTTGGTCCAAAAAAAATACCATCCTAAGAAATCCTCACCTCTCACATAATTTCTGGATCATCATGGCTACAACATCACTCTTACATTACCTTTTCAAAGTTTAATATTTTTAGTCATTTAAGAAATATTAGTTAAGCATATTCCTAAAACATTTTATTTTAAAAGAAAGTTAAAATGTTAAGAACCTAGTAACTTTTTAGTGCTTTTAGTTATACTTCTTTGGAACTGGCACAAATGTTCAGAAGTAGTCTGTTCTCTTAGACCCATGTTAAGGAAAAAATGGCTTTCTGTATTGGTATTTTTTTCTTTAGAATTTAATAAATTCCACATTAGTGATAATAAGTTGAGGCCTCGAACATGTGTCCTATTAGGAATGAACAATTGGCTATCATTAGACTGTCCCCCCGTCCTCTGTACATACATCTTCAGATGTACTAATCCATTCAGTAGACACATTAATGAGCACTGGTTGAAGTGTAATATTGGAGGAAGTGAGGCTGGTTGACCTCAGCATGGAGTTTAATACTTGTAATTAAATTAGATAGTCGACAGTTAGTATAGAGAGAAATAGCCATGCCTCTGGCAAATTTCAATTATTCATGTCTTTGTTTTGTTCTTTGTTTTCAGCTTGAAGAAAATATTTATCTTTTTATCATGGTTATTATTATAAACTGACTTTTAGTTCTTTTCTCAGTAGCATCTTACCATTATTTTATAACATTAGTAAAACATGTTCCTCCATGCTCAAGGCAGATAGTTCATGCTGTACTTTATTTCAGGTTGCTGCATGCATTATAGAAGTATCTTAGTAGCAAAAATATCTTTATATGCTTTTTAAACAGAGTAGGACTACATTCACAATCTAAATGGTTAGCTGGGCTTTTATTAGAGAAATCAGGTTTCATAGGCCTAATAAAACTTAGCATGATTCCTGTCACTAGACCATTTCGTTTGTATACAGTAATATTTGTTTATAACCTGCTCAAATTAGGATGATTAGAAAGTAGTTGGGAGGACAGAAAACACAATGAAAATTGCTTTCATTGTTTAAATAATCTTTAAAAATGCTTCAGGTTTTAACAGACAGTGAATGCTGAAGTTGACATGTATTTAAAACAAAAATCTTGACCCTTCACACAGTCTCTACTTCCAGCTGAATCAGTTCTGTGATTTAGTTTGTTTAAAAATCCAAACTGGCCGCCATTTTCACAATTCCATTTCACCTGAAACTCATCTTTTTCTACTTTCATCCACAATCTCTTTCTCCAACAATTCAGATTACTTTGGGAATCTGTACTGTCTGGTGGATAGAGCACTGAACTGTGCATCAGGAATAGGATTTGGAAGCCGATCATTTGACTGGTCAAATTACCATATTTACTTGAATATAAGATGAGGTTTTCTCCTTCAATCAGCATAGGGAAAAAAGCCCCTACTCTTACATAAACATATGAAGTGGGGAGGGGAGGGGAGAGGAGGAGCAGGTGGCTTCTGCAGCTCTGACTCTGGTCCTGAGCCCAGGTCAAGGCCAGAGTGAGACCCACAGCAGTGCCCTGCCCTTCTCCTCTGCAGCTTCTGCCCCACACCCACCCCTTTCCCTCCCCCTTTCTATCAGGTGTAGCTCAGCTCTGACTTAGGCTGGGATCTGTCCTATAGAGTACATGGAAACTCCTTCCCCTGCTTGGCCATTTAGTAGTGCCAATTTCCATGCACTATGCTCTGGAACAGAGCAGCCTGAGCAGCATCTTACAATAAGGGAGGAGAGGAAGAGGCAGAAACTGGGGAGGTAGGAGAGAAGGGCAGACTTGGGGGGAGCAAAGGGGAAGGGATAGAGACTGGGGAGGTCAGGGGAAGAGACAGAGACTGGGGAGCATGGTGGAAGAGGCAGAGCCTGGGGGGAGTTGTTGGGAAGAGGACAGAGGCTGGGGGGAGCTAGGAGTGGGGAGGCAGGAAGGCTGCAGGAAGAAGAAATGGGCAGGGCAGAGGGCAAGAGGGCCACTTGACCCCTCCCCCTCAGCTCCTGCTTTCCCTGCTGTAGCAGTAGAGGAGCAGGATTCAAGACAACTCTCCAGTACTTGGATTCTATATCTGGAAAATTATAACAAGTTTATACATTTTCCATATATAAAATCTAATTATTGGTGGGGTTGTCTTGTGTTCAGGGTTGTCCTATATTTGAGTAAAAACGGTTAGCTAGTTGGCTGGTTAGTTAATCATCTGTTATTTGATCACAGTAAAAAATTGTCAAATATTCCATGAAGCCAAGAGTGCTGTGTAGGTTGTGGCCTACCTATTCAATTTAGAAGCAGGCAGCCCCTACCCTGCTCCCAAAGTTGCCAACTTTCCCTAAAGTATGAACAGTCCATTAAAACAAAAAAAAGAACAACAAAACCCTTAAGCAACCTGACCTTGAGTGACACTCAGCTGTAGGAAAGAAACTAGAAGGAAACATTGATGGACAAATAAAGTAGAACAGTGCCACCTGGTGTCTGAGCGGGAACACAACACCCTGCAGAGAGCATTCTCTCAGGGCTTTGTAGCCCATGGGAGCCCCATAGCCCCCTTCCCCCAGCCATGTGCTGCTGCTGCATCCTGTCAGCTGCCTGTAACACTGTTTGTTTCACAGGTAGGCAGACAATAATCCTTTGGGGGTCTGTGGTGGGTTGGGGAGAACAGGCCAGCGACATTGGAGGTGGGCGCAGCACAATGTGGGGTGCAGATGTGGGTGTGATGGCAAATAAACTACTTTGAGCCAAATAAGCTGTCCTTTCCCATCTACAACTTAGCTAGAAACCCACACTAAAGTTGCACATATTATGTTTCCTTCCTTTTCATGAGTGGAACCCTTCCAAGAATCACTTTCTTGTTCTGTATTTGGATTTAATGACAGAAAACAGACAGGAAGTGGGGCTCAGGAGTGTAAAGGTAAAATAGAGAGAGACTCCCTGTATTTGCGGTCTGCATCACCCATGTGAATTCCAAGCAAAGGTGGTAAGGACTAGGAGGCAAGCTTGACCTCAGACTGAAGTTTAGTAAAGCTTTTGAGTTGTGCTTTACTGCTGCTGCAGGTCAAGCTTAGGGATTTATAATATAGATGATTAGCCTGTACTGGTTTTAGGAAGACCTTAAAGTCTACCCTATCAGGGATTCTAGAAAAAGGGTTTATGAAGGATGCATTGCATGACGTGGGCTTGTTTTTGGATCTGGGGTTTTTTGAAGTGGGGGTTGGTTTTTGCTTGCTTGTTTTATTTTGTTACTAAAAGGAGTTGTTAACTTGTATTGGTTGGCTGAATTGTTACTGGATTTTAAGTTATAAATGTGCCCATAGGTGAATAATAGAGTCATCTTATCAATGGAAATAAAATTAAATTAAAACAAAACTTCTTCCTGCCATTTAAGGCAGTGCAGCATCAAGATTCTGGTGTTTTGCATGCCAGGCCATCTTAAAACTTATTTTCTATCAGTCTTTTTGACTAGTATATAAAACTTTATCTTTAGTGCCTTTGAAACACTGGACAATAAAGCAATTATAAACCAGGAAAATAAAATGAATTCTGAAAGAAGAGAAGGGAGCCTTTAGGAGATCCGAACAGGGAAAAGTAGAAAAATACTTAAATAATGAATTGTAAATAAAGGCTTTAAAGCCTCTCTCCTTCCATTCCATTTTCATTTTCAAAATGAAAGCATATTTTAAAATGGAAATTGTTATTTAAAATATACCTACACAAGTCTACAAAGAAAGTGTCAAAATTAAGATAGAATCATGAAATCTCAATTCACAGTGGGAGCGATATTGCAAAATCGCTCCTGTAGCTTACCTCCTGTCTAGCTTTGGGTACATTAGTGCTGAGAAAAGGTGAGGGAGGACTGAAAGTGTCTTAATTAAGATGACTATATTACACACATTGTGTTAAATAAAAGGTAGTCATTTTTTAATTATTAGGCTATTAATCCTTCTTGAGCTTTTGGTGATTGTATAAATGACTCAAGCTTAATTTGACATTGTCAAAGCCACACAAAATAATTATAGCCCCATAATTCATAGCTAATTGTTTTTGTTTTGTTCTGATATGAATACCTACTGGATAGGTAAAGGGATTAGTCCAGAAAACATGTTCATTAGTACAATATTTTTAAATAAAATTCCAATTAATTATATCCATTATTTATGGGAGTTTTAAAAAAATCCTGTCTGTGTTAGACTGGGATTTTATGAAGTTTGTCCAAATGTTTTAAATGCATTTTAGATAACAGTATTCTCTTCGTGTAACTATGAAGCAGCTACTTCCCAAAATATTTCTGCCATTCTTGCTGTATCCTTTCTAATGAACTCTCATTTAAGTAAATGAAACTGAATTTAAAGACCAGCTTTTGTTTTAAAAGGAAATACAGTTGCCTTTTTCTCTCCCTTCTTTAGTACTAAGTGAGTACTAGAAATTACAGATAATTTTGGCAAGAGTTCAAGGGTTAATGCAACAGATAAATAAAAGGAATTTTCTGTAAATTGAGCCCTGCATTATTTCACTTGTCCTGCCT